TGCGCCCCCTGTGGCATGAGGTTCTTCCCAGGCCAGAGGAGAGCCTCTCATTGCCTTTTAGGGAGAAATCCCCCAAGCCTGCACAGAGAGATGTCTGCTCCACCGGTGGTGTCATTCTGTAAGAATCTGGCCTCTCGCGTCCAGACCTTGGCATGTGCTTCCACTTAGCAGCCTGAATTCCTTCCCATCTGCGAGCACATTTCCACGGGACTGATAGAGTCTCAGGTTGTCAAAAGGCTGAGAACACAACAACAAAAAAAAAGCATAGAGGAAATGCCAGTTTTATAAATCTTCTAGGAATACTACTAAATTTAGCACTCTCATAGATCAAAGACAATTAACAAAATACTGGCTTCCATGTCAGTGGGGGTGTGGGGGGCTCACATCATGTCTAGGTCAGCGACAGGGAAATGCTGCAGCCATTTAAAATTGGGAGGTTCTAACAGAAGTATAGAGTGTTTGCTTTTGTTTCTGGGACAAATGGAAGGATCTGTTTTGTTTTCTGTAAACACTCTGGCAGATGTCAAGATGGGGGTCTTTGTCCCAGCTTCACCCCTGACTTGTCCTATAATCTAGTGTTAGACACTTCACATCTGTCTATCTTACTGATTAGGAAATGAATTAAATAGCTATTTTGCCTCCCGGGTGACTGCCTTTCATGATAGTTAGGATGAAAAGTAAGTGAAAGATCCTCCAAAACACGAACAACAGGATAAAGAAGGCGGACTGTGTTAACATTTCCTCCCAGCACCACTCAGTCTAATAGAGGAGAAGTGCATAAAATTTAGGGCACACAGCCTCCTGCTAGGAAATGCCACAAGTGGAGGGCATTCTCAGCAAACCATCTTTTTCAAAGCAAAAAGAAAATAATAGACAAACCAAAGAAGAAAGGACATAAAAGTAGCGACATAAAATATGTAAAGGCTCACAAACATAGGAATGAGAATTCAGCTTTGCAAATAATGAATGAAACATGGTGTGAAAGAATGAACTATGGTTTCTCATTTCTCAAGTTGGCAAAGACCTTTCTGTCTTGATAGTAGAGAATCAAGGGAACAGGCTTCACACAGAGAGGGACACTGGTCAGCTTTTCTCCATGCTAATTTGCCACCACGTGGCAAAGCCTTTTAAAATCTTGGGTTGTCAGAAAAGTCATGATGAATTTTTGCTTGAAAAAGATAGAAAAAAGTCATGACTTTTCGAGCACAATATTTGTACTCTTCAACTGAACATTTCAAAGGGTTTATCCTAAGGAAATCGTTAGAGAGAGCTCAAAAGCATTAAAAATGGCCTGTGATAATGAGAACTTGTAAACTGTTGAAGATAATCAACAAGAATAAAGGTCGAAGTGAAGGAAAGTATATCGTGGCCACTTATGTAGCCATAAAAAAAAAATCATGTTACTGAAAATACTGAGGGAAGTGGTTTGTTTAGATGGCTGATTCTGTAAGAGAAAAAAGTGCTACAGACAGCCCATCCAACTCTAGTAAAATATAGATGCACACACACATCATAAATACAAACACAAATCATACATCAGTATTTTAGGAATGCTCTTCTCTGGGTAATGGGGTTTATGGGAGAGTTGTATTTTCTTCTAACTTTTGAAAAATTGCTTTCCAGATTTTACTGAGGCTATGTTTTACATTTATAGTTCACAGGAAGATAAACATGATTTTGAGGAAAGAGGAAAAGCCTGTAACTATTTTAGCCAAAGACCCTTGGTTGGCTATAGTTGGGGGCACCTAAGTTCAATATCTGAGCAGATTTATAACCCCCATTGTTAATGTTTTATTTCCTACTCTCCCTTCCTCCCCCACAATTGTCAGGCCCTGATTGACTCATACTAAATGCACCAGGGAGTAACAAGTAATCCCTACTGTCTGCATTAATTTATGAAGCAAAATATTTGTGACTTGAGAACAAATACCAGGCCCTCACTATGTGCTGGTCTTCTTACCATCCCAGGCACCCTCTTTCTGAAGGTGAGGCCAGCGTAGAGCTACAGGGTGCTTGATCAGCTCTGATTATCTAGAACACTAACTTCCATAGAGTGGGAAGGTCTCATAACTCAAGCCAAATGCATATGACCACGATATGTATTTATTGAGGGGGTACCCACATTGCAGTAATATAAGCACAGTGCTCAGCTATCAGCAAAAAAGAAAAGGTCAGGTAATGAACCTCTTGGCAAAGTTCAGGAGACCAGCTTATAGAACGGGCAGGACCCGGTCCTGGGAGTTCCTGGCATCCATCCACCTGCAGGGAGGAGAGGATGCTTCTTGGGATGAGGAGACCCCAGGGGCTCCTGCCAAGCTTTGGAACAGGCTTCAGGATCAAAATGTCTCAAAGTTAGTGCCTATATTTATAACCTGCTTCAGAGGTATGCTAGGAGACCTCCCGTTAGTTTCTCTTTAGACAGGACCTCTGCACAGCCAGGTTGCAGCCTGTCCTTGCCTCTGTCAGGTCTGTGTATCAGTGTCTTCATAGGCAAGTGGTCGCTTTCTGATGAACAACTTACATGGCTCTATCTCCACTGCCTCCCCATTTCCATCAGTCAGGGCCATTGCTGTATCAACATGTAGGACACCGAGTGAAGCCAGAAGTGCACACTGGGCCTGATTTTTAGAAGAAATGTTTGTCAACTGTGCCAACCTGAGTGTCCCCTTCTCTGCCCCAGAGCTGTCTGTCTCTGCCCACGAACTAAGATGAGTCACTGGGATGAAAGCTCACCCATCTCTTTCCTATTTGAAATACATGTTTCAAATGCTTCTTCCCCAATTTTTGTTTTTGTTCCCTAGATTTCTTTTAGTTTACACTTGTCATGACAACCACACTCAGGGCCCACTTTCTTAACAGGCTCCAGCACTGGTGTTTGCTGATATATTTCCCTCCATGGACTGAGTTAGAGACTGCCTTCTTTCTGGGGGCTCCAGAAAGGAAACTGACAAAGGGAAGTCAGGCCAGCTCCTCATGCCTCTAAAATCAGCTTTCTGCAGATCCTTTAGCCTAGGAAGCTGGCACCATTGGTGGTCTGTGGGCCCCTCGGTCTCAGAAACCAGCACCTCTCAGGTCTGCTCCTACATTTGGAGACTGGACTTTGAACTAGATTTTTCATATCTAACCATCTAGCTTTGCAGATAGCTCTTAGGACCTCTATTTATTGTAGATTTTGTATTCATGATGCAGGCTGTGGTGTGTTTCGATGTGCTTGTCTAGCCAGTTGATAACGGAGATGTTACATCCAGGACCCAGATGGAAATCCAATTAAAT